ACACACACACACACACACACACACACCAAATGATTTATTCAGTTTAGAAGTTTGAAGCATTTCACTCTTCTCTTCATTCTCAAATGACAAAACCATCTTTGTCGTTGAGCAGCTGCAGACGTTAGCCACAGGTCAGAGTTCTGTGTCGGCTGCAGCTGTCACATTCTCAGCTCGGCAGCCGCTCCAGTTGTCTCTGCGTTTCCAATGAAGTCGTCTCGTGCAGTTTGTGCAAAGTCGGGCCTGAGTCCTCTTGTAAATGCTAATCATCACACGTGGATTCCTCCGGGGCGGGAAATTGACGGGCGGCACCGGGAGGTCAGACCTGAACAGCTGGAAGGAATCCAGGGTTTCGCTCCAGGACTCTTCAGCGGGACGGACGTTCGATCGCCTCCACGGGTCTGAAGAACACATCGTGTCCAACGTGTCTTCACCCTGAGATTCACCTTCAAACATGGACCCTGAACTGGAAGCAGCTTTACAGAAGTAAACATAAGAAGGAATGAAGTCGATTAATTACAATTCTCCAAAATAAAATGGAGCGGAGTCGTTATCTGCTCATAATGAAACTGCTGCAGGTGGAAGATTTATGATTTATATAAAAGACAAGGTTCACTTACATGGAAACTGTCCTCTGTCTCCAGCTCCATGTTGGGTTTTAAACCAGATGTGACCACATGTGAAGGAAATGATGGGTTGGTAATTTATTCCACCACTTGACAGGATTACACAGAAATCTTACATTTTGTTGTGGATCCCGATTTTGAACTTTTGTTAGCGTCGTTAAAAAAGGCGGATATCTCAAAACCTCAGTACGTCCCTCCAGGTAGATGGTGGTGAATTCTGGGATCCGACCCTTTAACCCGGTGTTTCCCCTCCACCCAGCCGACACCGTGTCACTCACACACCGGATCACATGGCTGCAGACCAGCACAGTTTCACAGCTGAAGGCTAGCGCTCATGCTAATGCTCCCTGCAGGACTGAGCCTGGTTCACACCGTCCACAGTGTCACATGGTGCGGTGTGTTTTGCCCTTGGTTTCCCGCGGCAACAGACATCATGTCACTGATGGCTGCACTTTGGGTCGTCGCCCCGGTGACGGTGCACCGAACAGATGTGACTGCACGTGCATGTATGTGCATGGTGTGTGTCGGCGCGCGCGTGTGTAAATAACACGACTCGTCACAATGGATCCAGTGGATAAAGACTGACTCCATAATTAGATTTTCTCCAATATCTTCCTCATCAAAACACTTCGTCTCCCACGCTATGCTAAACACCATGTGTTACCACGGCAACCAGCTGAAATCACGGGAACCTCTGCCTCCGGATCTTTTGGCTCCTCGTCGAGCAGAACCTCCAGAATGAACGAGTGAATTCATTTAAAATGTTTGAGTGAGGCTGCGTTAGAGGAACACTTCACATCGGTGTCCTCTGATCCCAATCAGACCTTCTGAATTAACGAGGCCGCAGGGCTGGTGCAGGCGGAGGTGAAGGGAGACGATGGAGAGGTCATGTCAGTCGACTCAAAGCCACTTAAATCCTTTTCTTATTAACTCTCTGTGACACATGATCTACCTCTCACACACACACACACTCACACACTCGCTGTGTACAGATGTCTGCCTCTCGTTAGCTGCACTTTGCCGTATCCGACCTCTCTCTGAATTGTCGTGTGCACCCGTTTGTTTTTCTGAGATTTGCTTCATATGACTTTTTTTCTGATGCAAACGAGATCTGACCTCGAGCGGTAGAAACCACTCGAACTAAAATGTAATTGACCGACCGGGAACAAGGTGAAGTTTTCTTAGAAAAGCGATGAAAAGTTCATCTGGTTCCATTTCATACAACGATATAAGGATGTTTGAGCAAGAAGCTACAAGACATCTGCGGTTTATTCCAGGAGCTCGGCCGAGGACGTCTCGTTGTGTTCATGGATCAGCACGAAGGGGTTGATCTGAACGCTCTGACGTTGGGTCTGGTTTGTGCTCTGACTGCAGGCTGGTTTGCATCTTTATCTATTTATGGGATCTGATGTAATAAGTGATGACGATCGGACGGCTTGTAAAAGTTCATCCAGATTATCTGACGGTAAAACAAAATGTTTATACGTCCGACGTTTCCAGTTTCTGAGGCTGTGACAAAACAGGAAGGATAAAAAGAAAAGAGCTGAATCATATCCAGACGAACAGCGTTTTATTTATTAAAGAGGATGAAGTGACCTTTCCCAACCTTAAAATAGCTGTGAGTTGTTTTCTGACGTCTTCCTCTGCTGAACGGAGCTGAGTCCTTCTCTAAAAGCCAGAAAACAATTTCATCATGCTGCTTATGAAAGAAGAACGCTAAGCCGTGTCTGTGTTCCTGTCTGAGCCGTTTCACACTCTGAAATGGGTTTACTAAATAAAGATGGACAATTGCTTCTGCTGCCTCGTAGAAGAACTCTCAAAATTCCTATTTCTCGTGCCGACGCCTCGTTACTGAGGTTTTCTGTTTCCCTGGTAACGGTTGTGTGTAAGTTATTTGTGATTTGACTTGCAGAAGATGTAGAACTGGTTTGTCTGGTTTCAGCTCCAGGAAATTTCTCCTTGATTTTTTTTTTTTTKACACCAAACAATCATCAGATGAAAAGATGACGATGATCAGCTGCAGCTTCACGAGCGCAGCCAGAGACCCAAACTCCCCACTCTCCTCTGGACTAGAGATTTGGGTGTGAGGAAGGCCCAGAATGGCTGAGTGCATCGGGGGTTATGAATAAGTGATGATCTTCCTCCCTTCAACGTCTGTCGAGTTGCCCTAAAGCAAGGCACTTCTCGACTCTGGCTGCACAGGGAACGCTCAGAGATGGGAACTGTGTGGATTTTGGCTGAGAAAGAGCAAAAGTACAAACTTTACTTTTCTTTTGAAGTAAAACATGGTGAGATTCAGTCTTGCTCAGACAAGCAGAGGGTACTAATACTATTGAGTATCAGTGCTTTAGTGTGTTTGTGTATTTGTACTGAGGCAGCACAGTCACAGCCGTTCAAGCTTTGTTTTAAATGAACGTCAGCAGATAAATCTAATGCAAGTGAAGTAACCGGTGTCATCAAAGCGTCCGGAGGCCCCGACTTTCAGATTCAGCTCCAAACAGAATCAGTTACTCTGAGTTTTTCTCCTGAACGTCCTCTGACTCCTCCTCACCCGGAGCTGCGCTCACACACCTGCTCCCGCGCAAGAGGCGCGAGACGAGATCAGTCCACTGACTGGTCCTCACGTCCAGCTGCAGGAGTGACGCTGTGTCTCTGCTCGTGATCAAGGAGTGAGAGACGCATTGTTATGCGAGTCAGATGCTTGGACTCCCTCCAGGTTCCTCTGCTGTCGTGGCATTTCAGCAGCGAGGGTCAAGCCACACTAGAGTGGAGTGGACACGTGGAGTTTCGGCCTCGCCGTGAAGTGCGTGTCGCCCCGTTAAGGACGGCCCTGACGTGCGGGGCCGTCTGTCCAGGGTTTGAGCCAAGAGATTATAAAAGGGTGCAGCAGTGCCTCTCACAGCGGCGGAGGGTAATGAAGGTGTCATTCGCTGTGTTACTGCCGAGCCACAGAAGCCAAGTCATGCGCCTGCTAATGGATCCCAGCAAGTATTTCTTGTTGGGTCCCTTTTCCGTTTCAGTTCCCCCCCCCCCCATCGTTAGCATCGTTAAAAAAGCGCCCCACCCTGTCCTGTCCTCCAGCAATTATTTCTTATCGCCCTTCCCGTTCAGTCCTCATTTCCCCATCCTCTGACACCCCCCCCCCCCCCCCCCCCCCCCGTCTTACCTCCCTTTTGTCGTCTCTGCTCGTTTAATAATTTCCCGTTTTCACCGGCGCTCTCCTTCCACCTCATTTTCATTTTTGCTCTCTCATTACACCTCCACCTGCTCTCGCTCTTTACCTGCTCCGCTCACGCTCGCTCTTCTCTTCTCCGCCTCCCACAGGCCCAGTGACGTGGAGAAGGCAAGATGTCGCAGAGGAAGATATTCCTGATCTTCGTGGCCATCAGTACTGTCAGTCTCCTGTTGCACCATGGGGGCCACTTGAGCTGGTGAGTGACTGAAACACGCCCACACGTATGCAAACAAGCACTCGCATTATATAAATATATATAAATGAAACTGTGTCTACCCGCTGCCTCTGTGAGCACATCTGGAATAATTACAAATATTGTCTCATTTAAAATCAGGATCATTATAATTTTCAAATGTGGGAGTTTGAGTGACGACGCTTCGGAAAGTCGTCGGAGAGACTAATTATAAAAGCACAGATCTTTGACAGCCCCGTGTTCTCCTTGTTTCCCACTTCCTGTCTCTGCCGGCGTACTTTGTTGAACGTTCCCCTCGTCTCTTCACTTTTCACACGTTGTTCTCACATCTTCTCGAAACGTGAGTCTGGTGTTCAGACTGCTGCAGGTGAACACTGCGGAGGATTCATCACGCGTGCTCGCAGTCGAACATGTGGTCGTTTCCTCTGGGGTTTGAAATTTCGCTGTTTTTGCTGTAAAACATTTCTGTCATGAATATTCATCACAGCTACAGCTTCACTGCAGGGATCCGAAATATAGAAGATATTTAAAACAGTATAAACCATAGACAGTCTCTAAAGATGCAGGACGTGAGTGGGGGCCTGCCTCTGCCATGTTAGTGGATGGGACATATAAATACACAAACAAGATGAATTCTGTCAGTCTGAGTAGTTCTTGACACGCCGATAATTCGTGACAGTGGCTCCTCCCCCTGAAAGCTGCCTTGCAGACTAG